TCTCTCTCTCATCTGAAAGGCTCTGTCAAGTAAAAGCTCAAAGCTATAGCGGTCAAAATAGTGTCATAATGTCACTGGGACTCCACAGTTCAAGCTGACAAATCCTGAATAAACGCGCAAGCTTAGATACTTAAAAGGCGCAAATAGCTTGAGAACAATGACTTAACCCTTTGAGTACGATGACTTAACCCTTTGAGTACAGTGACTTAACCCCTTGAGTGCAGTGACTTAACTCCTTGAGTACGATGACTTAACCCTTTGAGTACAGTGACTTAACCCCTTGAGTACAGTGACTTAACCCCTTGAGTACAGTGACTTAACCCTTTGAGTAAGATGACTTAACCCTTTGAGTACAGTGACTTAACCCCTTGAGTACAGTGACTTAACTCCTTGAGTACGATGACAACTCCTTGAGTACAGTGACTTAACCCTTTGAGTACGATGACTTAACTTCTTGAGTACGACAACTCCACTTCTTGAGAATAAAGACTTAACCCTTGAGCATGATGACCAGCCCTTTAAGTACATTAACTTAACCCTTGAGCATGATGACTAGCCATTTAAGTACGATAACTTAACCCCTTGAGTATATGGCTTGACCCTTTGAGCACGATGACCTGTTCTTCGAATAATATGGTACTGTACTCAAGGGGTTAAGTCATCGTACTCAAAGGGTTAAGTCACTGTACTCAAGGAGTTGTTATAGTACTCAAAGGGTTAAGTTACTGTATTCAAGGGGTTAAGTCATCGTCTTGCAAGGGAGTTAATATTTACGGTTCGTTCTTAAGTTTATGGTTTAAGACGGTGTTAGTGTGTGTGTGTGTGTGTGTGTGTGTGTGTAAAATTAATATATGTTGGTGGTCGCGACACTAGGAGGGGAGGAAGGGGGTGACAGAGGGGGGGTCGGCCTCTCACTTGACAGGCTAATCTGAGTTTTATGTCACCAGAATAAAAGTGCCAAGAGTCAATATTTCAATACCAAGCTAATTCTCTTATGGACACAGATAGACAGACAGACAGAATCAGACTGAAACACAGACAGACACAGACAAACAGACAGACAGAACCAGACTGAAACACAGACAGACACAGACACGCATACGAAGGAGTTATGGCACCAGGGGTAATGTAGTGCCACTGTCAGAGTAGAAACAGGGACATTATTTTTGGCACTTGCACCCCGGGTCATCACTCACCCCTACCAAGTGACGGAGAGAGAGAGAGAGAGAGAGAGAGAGAGAGAGAGAGAGAGAGGAGAGAGAGAGAGAGAGAGAGAGAGAGAGAGAGAGAGAGAGAGAGAGAGCACTTGAAATGTGGTGCACGATCACCATTAAGACCGTCAAACACTCTTCAATAGACAGACACACACACAACACACACACACACACACACACACACACACACACAGGTGGCAGTGAGCGGGAGCGATAAGGAGATCCACCGCCCATTTGTTTCTTCTCAGCAGATTGGCGCCTCAACCTGTCTTACACACACACACACACACACACACACACACTACAACAAACAATAAAATTACACCCAAACAAACAACTATCCACAATAATCCTTCAATAACACACTATAAAATTCCACTTAAACACACAAGGATTTACATATCTTAAAACTCACTAAACATCAAAAGTCACAACCACCCAGACCAACAACAAGCCTGGGACAAGATGGCGCTGGGTACCTCTGATGTAAGACCCCCCCCCCTCGTGAGTATGACACCCGAGGGAAGGGAGACTTTAAAACTGACGCTCTGATTATTCTGTTGCGGCCATGACTGCCAAGCCCCGAGACACTGGGATTTGTACAACTATCTCCTCTGTAACTTGGAATATTTACCTCCTGAAGTCACCTCCTGAGACCGTCCAAGGGAAGGGGAGATGAGGGGACAGGGGGGGGCTGGGGGAGGGGAGGGGGCAAGGGGGAGAGGGGAATGGGGAGGGTCGGAGAGAGCTCACGTATACGATTCTCAATGTGTCGTATCTTGGTTCTTGTTTTCCCTGAGGATGTTGTCTTGTTTACAGTCGAGTCTAAGTGTGATTTTCTATACGTCATGTTGGGTCGTAAGTTTGGTGGCGTTAGTGGGGTTGAGGTGGTGGTGGTGGGGTTGAGGTGGTGGTGGTGGGGTTGAGGTGGTGGTGGTGGGGTTGAGGTGGTGGTGGTGGGGTTGAGGTGGTGGTGGTGGGGTTGAGGTGGTGGTGGGGGGTGAGGTGGTGGTGAGGTGGTGGTGGGGGCTGAGGTGGTGGGTGGGAGGAGGTGGTAGTGGGGTTGAGGTGTGGGGAGGTGTGGGTTGGGTTGGGGAGGTGTTGGTTGGGTTGGGTTGGGTAAGTGAGGTGGTTGAGTTAGGTTGGTGGTTGTGGTTGTGGTTGTGGTGAGGGTGTTAGGTAATAGGTATGTTTAACACTTACAACTACACCAAGACTGTGGCCAAAACAGAGTTAGAATTACACACTGACTCCACCTTAAGACTGAAAGGAAGACTCCGACCCCC